CGGTCTTGCAGAGCGGCCATCAGCTCCCACCCGTTGTTGCTAACAATAGGCGAGCGAACGGCCCAGCATACACCATGCTTTTCTCCATTCAGCTTTGGGGGGTTATCTTATCAACAGACACACAAGGCTTTCAAACTCCGAGTCTTTCGGGCGTTGTGTGGGGAAAACAGTAATGTTTGTCGGCGGGGTTGAGTCCAAAACCTCAGTGTCGAAACATCCCGCCAGAAAACAACCACAGTTCATCCGAATATGAGGATTTTCTCAAAGAGAGAGAAAGCGAGGGATCTGAAACACAAAAGCAAGAAAAGGGGGGTTGAGGTTGCACGAGTTTTCTTGCTGAAACATTGACATTCAAATCCAGCGGCTGTTGATGAGCTGCGGGTGTGATTGGTGTTCCTGGATGCAGGCTGTCTTCGTCGCCATTGTCAATGTCGCCCTCGGCAGAGCAGGTTGACTTGACCGCTTGGTTTTCGATGGAGGGGTTGTACTAAGAACCAGCGAGAAAATACAAAAAGGCAACATTAAACGCATTGGTACGGAGGATCTGTAGGCCCCGGGGGGGTGGGGGGGGGGGTGCTGAATGTGACCTTACGCAGGAACGGCGTATCGCATCATATCACATTGTAACCTTCTCATCATCAACACTTCCAACAAGCTGAACTGGTGATGCGTGGAGATGGATGTTGTTGCTCGGACCTCTTCTTCGTTTTCTTCTTCGTCGTCTTCTTCAAAGACAATGGATTCTTCCCCAATTCAGTCTGGTGGTGGTTTTTTGTTGTGGACTTCCCCCCGCCCCCTCCCCCTCGCGTGGATGCACCTTGTTCGAAACAAGCGCCGTTGACTGCTGGTGGGTCGCTCTTTTTGTCAGGGGTTGGCAGGGGGGGAATAAGATGAAACAGGGCCAAGAGATTGTCAGAGGTTCTTCTGGAAGGTCTTTCTGGTCTGGACTGGCTTGTGGGTTTCGTACAATGGTCACCACATCATGAGTGGGAAGAGGAAGGGAAATGAAAGACAAAGGATTGTTGTTGAGCAGAAGGGAGGGTGGAAGTTTACACTAGAGATCAATGATGTCTTGACGCCTGGGTTTCAAGAGACAGAAAGCTATTGCCTTTGACGCCCTGCCTGGGTTGAGGTTGTTTCTCGCCGGGTTTGAGATAGATTGGGAAAGCAAGGCAAAGCTGGGAAATCACATTCCCGATCTCGGTACAGCAACTGGCGAGGAGTTCAACTACGGGTCGGCTGATAGCCTTTTTGCTAGCTATCGCCAACTCGGGGAGGCTGGGTGTCATGATCAAAGACGAAAACGGAAGAAACGGCAGTTGAGGAGAGGTTGCACTCGTCTCACAGGGCTGCGACATTCACGATTCAAGAGGCATCTTTCTTTTCTCGCGATGGCCAGCAACCTACTACGACGGTAGATCTTTCACCAGAGCTCCTTGTTTGTTTCTTTTTGCCGGTTAGGTCGGGCGCGCTGTGGTGGTCATACTCCGTATCCATCAACCCGATCTGCTGTTGCTGCCAACAGGTTCTTCGCATTCGGCATCGGAGACGTGACCACATCACTCCTCGTGACATATGACCCCGTGATGAGACGGTCTTGGTTCAAGTTCAGCTTCTTCTTCTTTTCTCTTCTGCCTTTTCCCCCTTTTCTTGGCTGGCCTTCCCCGCTGAAAAGGAACACCTTCTGAACGCGTCCGTCCACCCGTCCGCCGCGCGAGCCCTATTCCGACCCCTCGGGAACCCGCAGCAGTGTGCTCACATGTGTGAAGGAGCATTCGGGCGCGCGTACCTGAACACCGTGCGCAAAATTTTGGTTGATGATGTTCAAAGCGTAGCATTTTGCACCCGGTAGGTCCGTCCGCTTCTGGGCAGCCGGGGGTATACACACGGAGCAGGGGTGGGATGGTTGGCACGGATGACAAGAAGCTGGGATCACCCGGGGTTCGAAAAGAAGAGCGGAGTACTCCACCATTCGGCGGCGGCGGCGGCGGCGGGCGGGAGAAGAACATTTCGAAACTTGACAGCAGGAGGGAGGGCATTGTTGATGAGGGGGGGGGGGGGGGTCGGTTTAGTCATGGTATCGGATGATGAATGGGCTGTCAGGATACTATGGCGAGGACTGACATCATGAGGAAGGAGACGTCTACGCGGGGGAGGCGAAAGATGGGTTAAGAATTTTGTTCTGGTTTTTCTACGATCACGGGAGCATCTCTTCCTGGGACAGAGCTTGTTGGGATCACCTTGTTGGAAGGTGTTTGCTTGTGCCCCATTCCTCGGCAGGGCTGGATGAACTCTACGATCTACCAACGTCTGAAACTTGAAGCCGCCCAAAAGAAGAAGGGGGACAGGTAGTAGAGATCCTGGAGGGAAATCCCCAGGCTTCATTTGACAGGTAGGATTTCCCACAGGGAAGACCGTGGTGTCATCAGACCGCTCGGACCGTTGGTGACGATAGTTGACAAGAAACCGGCGATATCCGCCTCCCCGGAGCGCCGATTAGGCCGGGCGAGGGGGTCTAGACTCGGTCGTCGTTGCTGTAACTTGATGCTCCGATATACCGATGCCGTTGACGGTACCCAACTTGACAAAGTTCCTCCGTTGTTGCCACCCAAGAATGGCAAAAAAGCACGCATGAATCTCAAAATCAGCCTGCATGGAAGCACATGGCAAAGATGGGAGAAGATTTCCCTCATTGTCAATGCCTCATCCATGTCTTTTTTTTTCTCTTTTTGCCAGCATTGACTTTGTACAAGTCAAAAGAAACGCATGAAGCTGACCATATCTTTACGGATTAGCGCAAGTCAGCAACACGTCCACGCTAAAAGAGTAGCGCTTGAACAGAATGCTTCTTTCGGCTCAATTTCCGAGGTTGAAAAGAACGGTTGATTCTTGGCAGGGGTTGTGCGTTGTTAGGCTTGTGGATTCATCAGGATGAGGAGGTTGGAAACAGTGGGGAGAGAAAAGAGGGCGGAGATCACATCATCGATGGGCATTGTTGGTGGGGAGGTGGATTGTCAAGAAGGCTTGTTGAAGCTAAGGGCGACGGATAGAGATTAAGGGGTGGGCTGGAAGAGGGAAAAGTGTCCGTGTGGTGATCCGAGGTGTGGATAGAACTACGGGAGGCACTACGGAAGGAAAAGTGATGAAGGTTGCTCCCGTGATCTGAGCAAGAGATTGTGATGGCACTAGGATGATCGGTAAGGGCTTCTAGAAGGGGCTAGGAGGTGTGTATAGAGGTAGTTCAGTGAGAGGCCTCTTGAGGACCATGAGTCGCAGTTGTGATCATGAGAGTAGTATGAGGACTGTTGGTTGATGAGGCCTACATGTAGGTGACTGGATGCGATGATTGGGAGAGGTTGCATATTTATCAGAGAAAGACAATGGCTTTGATACTTTATTTATACTTCACTCGTAGACATGCTGTATCAGAAGATCAAAAGTTGCTGTTGGGTGAGTACATGAAAGCCCTGGAAGGGACAACAGGTTACAGCCACGATGTCCTTCCGCTGTCACTGTATGTTTCTACTAGGACGAGGGCTTTATCAAGGGTCTTTCCTCTAAGTTGTATCAGCCTAGCGTCCGAGCATCCCTTGATATAGATCTAGAAAGTCGACTGAAGCCTGGGAAGACAATACAATCAACACAATTCAGAGCACACGGTCATAAACCGGGCTTGTAGAAGCCAACGTTGATGACGATGCTACGGGGCTTTGTTGTGAGACTCTGCTGTCTTGAACATAAGCATATGATGAACCGTAAGACACTTCCTTCGTAGTATTTGTATTTATCTTCGTCAAAATGCGAACTGCATATCTCACTTGTGATCTTTGGCCACTGAGTTTCTTGTATTTGCGATCAAGATTATTTGCTTAAAGTATATAAGAAGACGTTGAATGAGTTGATAAATGAGATGTCGCTTTCTGATAAGATTCGAAACTATGAGACAGAATGCTTGGATGATAATACGAATAGTCTTTGGTAAGCCGCTGTCTTACTTCACATGTTCATCTCCAACCCAAGACCCCCTCCGAAATCGCTATTGAGGTGTCTTCTTAAGTCCTCTTCATCGACCTGATTGTGGCTGTGTTATGAGATGTAGGACCTGTCATGAAATCAGATAAGATTGATTACAAATGTGAGAGGGTATACCGGCCGTTTAGCAATTGTTTGGGTTAGCCTGGATAACGCCATCCAAGACCGTTGTTGTTTGATAAGAGGGTCCTTTGTCGTAAATATGCATTGTGTCGTTAGACCCTGAGCACCACCACCACGGAGATAAGACCCTTTACAGTGAGAATAATTGGTCCATAAGGCTTTCGTCAGCGAACTAGTCCCCCGAGTCGGGTTGTTTTGCCCGCCCGTTGCAACGGAAGAGGGCTTTCACTGGACTGAAGTGACGACTTACACAGAGACATGATGGCTTGGCATCTGCACCCCACTTGCCGTTAAGCTTAGGTAGCGGGTGGGGGAGCCGCTAGGGGACGAGCGAACTCCGCTAACCGTTGAAGATGTCTGCCCTACGAGGAGCTTTCTTCTTCAAAGACGTGCTTTTTGTAGCTCTGATAGCAAAGAGGAAATGGCCAGAGAGTTTTATATATACCTACGTGGAAGATGAGGCAGTCTACCTACCTTATATAACCTCAGAAGATCGGATGCAGTCCGGCAAGGAGCACCGGCCAGAAGACGGAATGGGGGGGTGCATGCTTCCTACCGCTTCGGGCTACGGCAGGGTGCAACTGCCAAAGAGACCCGGGCGGACTAGTATGCATCTGGCGCCGAGTTCGCTGTAGGCGGGTGCACGCAATTGCTTCGAGATCTCGCGCGCTTTCAGACGCTGTTGCCTCCTCATCACGAGGATGTTGCTGTTGACAATGCCAGGGCCCCTTTGGTTTTCAATCATGGGATGGCGAGATGTGTTTCTGCTGTCTCCAGTAACCTCACCTCCTTGAATCGACGGAAACACCACCACCGCTGTGTGCTACCCCAGATTATTCGCCATCATGGCACAGCAAGAGAACACCAGCAGATGCTCTCCGGTCGAACCATCCCAGCCTCAGTTTCCCGAAAACACCCGAGACATTCCGGGACCGACACGCCCAAGTGAGATCACTGAACACGCACGCATAAGACGCAATACCGCCTGTGTGCGGTGCCGGGATGCCAAAGTGCGCTGTAATGCCAGCTCTGCCTCGGGCCAGCCATGTCTACGATGCTCCAAGCTCGAGCTCCAATGCGTGGTGGATAAAAGTCATAAGCGGACGTCGAGGAGGAGGTAACATGAATTTCGACTCAGCTTAGTATCCAAGACTAACCATCGGCATTCACTCACACAGTAAACTGGAAGAACTGGCTGCTGAAGTGCAGAATATCAAGGACGCCGTGGTAGCTCCCCGCCCAATTCTTGATCTTCACCAGCATCACCAACCCACCCATCTCCACCTACGAGCCCAGTCTATTTCCACCGAGCCCAGTTATATACCGTCTCTGTCAACCACCAGTATCAGTGCCAGTAACGCCAGTAGCAGCACCGTCTTCGGCCGGCCCAGGCTCTGCTCAGCCTCTAGCGAAAATGCTGTTGTACCACCACCACTTACACCAGCAGGTAGCAATGTCCCATCGACAACTTGCCACACTCAGCACCCTGCCGAGCCAAGGGCACTCGGGTCTCGAGTCTTTTCAGGGGAAGACATAGACTACTACTTTGAAAAGTACTTTGAGCACTTCCACCCCTACCTCCCAATAGTTCGCACCAAAGACCCAAATGCATGCTACCAACGAGGGCAGGTCCTCTTTTGGGCCATCATCATGACCGCCTGCCGCCGGTTCTCCCGGGACGACACCGCCTCTCGGTTTCTGATCGACTCCCTACTGCCACAAATATGGAGCGCCATCTCACAACCGCCACTAGATCTATCAGTCATCAACGCTGTATTGCTACTAGCAACATGGCCCTTTCCCACAATCAGGTTTTTGTCGGATCCATCAATGATCTTTGCAGGGATAGCAATGAACTCGTCCTTCTTGATGGGACTTCATACCGGCAGGGGAACCCATTCGGAGTTCAAGCATGCCACCGAGGTGAATGACACGACAGACGAAGAGGCTACTTTTACTTGGGCGGGATGTGCCATCATCTCTCATCGGGTGTCGGCATACATGGGCTGCCCATCAGCTAGTTCATTGTTCAACAAGACAGTCGACCAGTTGCTCGATGGCAGCAGTCAGTTTCCACTACCCAGGTATTTTTACCTGCATTTGGAAACAGCGCGGTTTGCGAACCGGGTGAGCAGGACCATGTGTGCTTCGCTGGAGGAAGCTCAGGGGGTGAGCCATCACTTGGTGGCGTACATGGAGGAGGAGTACACCAAGGTTCAGAGGCTGTTGTATCCAGACAACTCAGGTACGCAGTTTTTGCTGTATGTGGTGGTGTCGACGACACAAAGCTAACAGGTAACAGACCTCGACCATTTCACCCTTTTGTCTACCCTCCTGGAGATCCAAACTTATTACTTCATGCCTTTGCCCGGCTACAACCCCGAACTCCTCAAAAGGAACCTCATCAAATGCTACACCACGGCCGAATCCCTTATCCACCAAGCGGCCTCGAGACTACACCGGGAAACAGCCTTTCTGCACTACGCTCCTCACTTTGTGTTTCGGACTCTTTTGTCGGCGATCTGCGTGGTGATGAGGGTTCATTTGTCTTCTTATACCAAGGGGTTTCAGGCAGACACTGTTGACGCGCTGATCAAGGAAGCGATTAGAGCGCTGAGGATATGTTCTGTGCAAGAAGGGGACTTGCATGTGAGATGTGCGAGCATGCTGGAAAGTTACTGGGATATGAGAAAAAGGTCGAATCACTGGTGCAGGACGGGGGTGAGCGTGTATACACATCGTCTGGGGGCGAGCTTGACGTTTGATTGCTTGAGGAGGTGGAAGAGGGATGTGGAGGATGCAAGGGATAGTGGGAGGGGGGTGATTGGGCCTGGGGGGACGGAGGGGGGTGAGGATGGGGGGAAGAAGGTGGAAAATAACAATGTGAATGTGGGAGGGGTTGAGAGGGTTGGTGAGTTTGGACGACCAAAAACAGAAGAACAATATGAGGAGATGCTAACCGAGGGTGTTTGAATAGATGAAGGACCGAGACCGACGGCAAATGCGGATTTGGGACTGGCGGATCCGTTTCAACGGTTTGACTGGAGTGTGTTTATGGATGATTTTGATTGGAGCTTCACGAATACGTCTACTTCGCCGGCGTTTATGGGGCCTATGGGACCGACTTGAGGAGGGGGTTTGTTGGTATAATAATATACATGATCGTGTTCTTTGCTAGGACTCGAGATGCCTGCTCCGTTCCTGCTCGCTCATCATCGTTGCAGCTTGTTGTCGTTGTTTGATGGTGGTGATGGCTCAACGATGGGTATGAACATATTGGGAAATAGTCACAAGACAACAGTAGACGAGAAGGCAGTTGGCGGGAAGGAAGTCGTAATAAAAATGTAAAGTGGTTACAAAAAGAAAGAGACGTGGAAAGGGGGTATTGTTTACTTTTGCGAAAAGAAATCTACAAAAAAATCAAAAGACTTTGACGCCATGTCATTGGTTCGAACTCGGGGTTCACTTCGACGCTGAATATTTTGTTAGGCTCCTGGATCCGTAACTGTTTCGGGCATCTCCTAATACCACTTAGCCATATGCCCCTCCCCAGGCGTCCCTGGTTGGAAATGCTGTCTTGGAAAGGGAACTTATCTCCCCGGGAAGGGAAGGAGCGAGTGAGGGCAGTGAGGGAAGGAGCGATGGTGTTGGGGATTGGGGGAAGGCGCAGCCTTGACACATGGCGGCATGTGTTGCTTGTAGGTGGGAGAGGTTTCCCCTTTTTGTTTAAATGCTTGCGGAAGCTTAGCAACCTTGTTCCATTACCTCTGTTCTTCCCTTTCTCTGCTTTGCTTACCACCATGCTTTTGACAGGCCTCATGTATATCTAGCCACCTTCAGCACTTCTATTCGTTGAGTACATTCGTTCGCCTTTTCATACTCATCAGCTTGTAATACAGATGCTGTTCCCAGTTTGGACTCAGAAGGAAATTAAAACACTCACTTAAAGAATAGGAGATGAGGTGTGCAACCCAATCACCTTTTTCTTGGTGTACTTGGGGTCTGTTTGAACAGCCTTTCTCTCTTATTTGAAGTTGATTTTAAGTATGTGCCCAGGATACAGCTGTTCACAGATGAAAAGTGCCCGATCCCCCTGAGGCTCGGGGAAAGAACATAGAAACTCGGCCCCGGATCCATTGGCCTAGAAACACGGCAAATGTCGTCCGAGAATTTGATCTTGGCACTCCGGATCCACCACCGTTCCCCGGATCTCGGTTGCGGGGCTGAAATTCTTGAGATCAGATGAAAATAATGACTTTGAAGTCTATGTAACAGGTTATCTTGGACGGTTAAACATAACTCAAACGAGTGAAGGTAAAGGGCACCCGGAAGTGACGAGAATTTACAGTCATCTTGACATGTTCTTCACGTTGCTTTTGATAAAAAAACCCATCATGAACTGACAAGAACTGCCGCATGGCACACCGCTTGTCGTCTGGTGACATCCCCGGAGGAGATAACCCGCCTGTTCTTCCCCTTCAAGGTCTACCCATCCCACTTCCCACCTGCAAACCAAGAAGACGCAATGTTCCCGTCGACTGTTATAAAATGGCCATGACCATAGAGATATGGCCACGATGGCAATGACGGGCCTGCAGATTAGCTTAATGCGAAGCTTAACACTTCTTAGGGTCTGGTGATGATGTCGAGCATTTTGCACGTGCTGAAGCGAGCAGGATGAACATCTGGAGGTTCAGGCAAGATAGCACGAGACTTGCTCCATCATGCCATTTTTGCCGGGAGACCCAAGTCGCTTTCTACCGCAACCAGCGAACAGGCTTCCCCACCAATTAATTGGTCGCTCTTGATGCGACGCGGCCACAAAAAGACACAGGCCAAGCTGCACACCGATAGCCGAGGCTCGGGGGGTGACCAGCACCAGAAAGGAAGCCCAGCCAATTGCAAATTACGGAGCGCACGGCTTTCAACGACCACCACCCGCAGGTTCACCGGGGGCACATGTTCCTGCTTCTCCGCTTGCGCTGGACTGGACGGACAGAGATCAGAAAACGTCTGAAGAAACACCACGATGGCCTCCAGTCTGCACTAAAAACAGCCAAAAAGTCAATTCACACACCACCTACCACCGTTGCTGGACTGCCCGCGCCCACCTCAGCCAGCCACAGCGCGTGTTTTTGATAACCTAGTTCAGGTCCATCCTCAAGCCCCAACCTCCCAATTCGACGACACTTTACTGTGGTCGCGATACACTCACACACAAACACACACACACACACACATTTTGACACTTTGACAACTCTGCACAACACACCCGTGCGCAGTTTCCCACCATGGCGCCCTCCTCCAACCGGTCATCTGTGGTCAGCTCCGAGCCCAACGGCAACAGCAACGGCACCAACCTCATGACCTCAAGCATCTCCTCCCTTTCCTCGTCCATGAACTCCCCCCGGCCCACCTCTTCCTCCTCGCACATCACAAAGACCTACCGACAAGCCTCTACTCTCTTCCTCACGCGTCGTCTGCCAGAAGCCCTCTCCACCGTTCTCCCTCTGGTCTCCCCCGTCCCCCAAACCGAAAACGACCCCAACAGCCCCTTCGACCCAGCCCCGGCAGCGAAAGCTTCCCGGTCTTCCCGCATCAAAGTATGGTCCTTGTACCTGACCATCCTCAACGCGATCCTCGAGCTCGATTCCGAAGAGGGTAAAGCCGCCTTTGGGACGGCCGAGTGGCGCGCCTTGTGCCACAAAGTCAAGGATGGGGAGATTTGGGAGGAGGTGGTAAAGAATGGTTATCACGGGGTAGAAGGCGATGTTGACGCCGATGTGGTAATCAACTTGTATTTCCCCTT